GAGAAGATGCTATTAAAGAAGGAGGTGGAAATGGTCACGGTTTTTCTTCACCTATGGATATTTTTGACATGTTCTTTGGAATGGGTAGTGGTGGTGGACGAAGGAGAGAACGACGTGGTAAAGATGTTGTTCATCAATTAAGAGTAACCCTTGAGGAGCTTTACAATGGATCCGTTAGGAAGTTGGCATTGCAGAAAAAAGTGATTTGTGAAAAATGTGCAGGTGGGTCTTTATCAGTTTTTACAAGTGACATTACATACATGTAGTGTGACAATGGAGTGTTTTATAAGACACTGTCACCCAGAGTAACTACACTGTAGTTCCTGTTATCCTAGATATAAAAGTTTGTATTGGAGGGGGGGGGGGATTAGTGTAATCTATTTTGGCCAAACTATTATGTAAAAGTTACAAGAAATGTTTTTCCAAAGGTTTACTTATTTAAAATACACATTATAATGTAATAAGTATTATTGTAGCAGATATTAGACTTTTGAAACAAATTCTGTAACAGTCTTTGCATTTCTTTTATTTTCTTACTGGTGTTTTCAATGTTTGGTTTCAGAATGTTCTCTTATAAAAGAACTAGTCTTTGACAGTGTTTAGTTTTCATTTATTCTGTTTTTAATACAAAGTGACAGTACCAGTTAATTAAGAATCTATAAACAAACAAAGAAATTCCCACAAAAAACTTTAACAAATAAACACTGTTGTCTGAAGATGGGGCTCTGAGGGATGATAAATCCATCCCAAATACCTTTCTCTTTGCAGTGCCTAATACTATCTACACCCATCCTTTCTTGCACATATGGTGAAGTCATCTGTACTTCCCAACTCCTAATTTCGTTTTTTCATAGTTCAATGACATTTAAAAATCCTCCTGTGTACCTAACAATATCGTTAGTATTTATTTTTCAGTTTTTCCATTTTGTTTTTGAAAGTTTTTGCACCTGACTTCTGCTACTGGAATGAGACTGCACTGAATGATTTGTTCGGTTCAAAAGTCACAAATGAAAATTCATAAACCCTGAACCTGTGCAAAAAGTTAAATATTGTTTTGTATTAAAAGGTAGAAAAACTGCATTCATCCATATCTTGTAAATTTAACTTGTTTAGTTCAAGATTTAATACTTATTGAGCATCATTTCAATTTCTTAATGGTGATATTAGATACTTATAAAAAAAAAAAAGACCATTAGTATGTCTATATTATCCTAGCCAACATGATAACCCCTGGTATTAAGCGAAAGGCCTAGTTGACGCTGGGTATACATACTACAAATAGTGTGATTGCGTATTATTATCTTGTAAATTTAACTTGTTTAGTTCAAGATTTAATACTTATTGAGCATCATTTCAATTTCTTAATGGTGATATTTAATTTTTATAAAAGCATATGTGTTTTAAGTTATGTTGTTATTGCTGTTTCTATTGAATAGGGCGAGGTGGCAAACAAGGAGCTGTGGAGAGGTGCCCCACATGTAGAGGATCTGGTGTGTACACACGAATTCAGCAGCTTGGGCCAGGCATGGTACAGCAGACCCAAACTATGTGTCCAGATTGTCAAGGACACGGAGAACGCATTAATCCAAAAGATAGATGTAAAGGATGTCAGGGAAAAAAAGTAGTAAAAGAACGAAAAGTATTGGAAGTTCATATCGATAAAGGTAAGTAACGGTAACTTGGATAAAAGATAATGGAGAACAAACTGACACTTCTGAATGAAAACGTTTTGTACTGTTATTTTGTGTGAAGTTTTGGGCATATACCCCCTTCATCAGACAGTAAAGAGTGTGTTAAAATGGAACTAGGTTCAGAAAGAATCATTAAAAGGTAAGAAAATATAAAGTTTCTAATTACACGCATTTAACGTGAAGCACATTGACAAAAATACTGATAAAAACATTGTTTAACTTACTACATAAATGTTATTATAATTAACAAGAATATGGAAAAAAAGTAATTTGAACAACAAAGTTTTTAAAATCATAAATAATATTCAACGTTAAACTGGTACACAATTAAAAATATTTTATTTAGGCCTATCTATGGCCTTCAAAACGCTCACACCACCTTTACTCTTTAATGTGAATAACAATACACCAGATACTACGAGAAGGCTACCTTTTCCA